GTAGTTGCCAGACCACCACATCTTCATCGTCCAGCTCCACATCTTCAACTTCTACGACGGTGGGCGAAGGGTCTTGAACTCCATGTTCTGTTTGCCAAACGTAGCTTCAGGTGTACTGGCAAAGGTTTACACATGATAGGTTAACAAGAAACACATTTGCATTTGATGACATGGGATGTCATCCCATACATGTAAAGAGCCAATTAGGCCAGATGTTAATCTTCATTGTTGGCCATGAATTGAGATATATTGAGATGTGAACAGTTGATGTTTACAAAACTCTTTCCTTCGCTCCAGACGACCACATCCTCATCGACCAGTTCTTCCACTTCCACGACCACGGTGGGTGAAGGGTTGCGAGAAGTGGTGAGTGGCCGTGAGTCAGGGCACCTCCCCCAGCACACATGGAAACATACCTCGCTACGAACGGAACAAGTGCATCGCTTCGTTCGTAACAAGTGCCTTACTAGTAGTAACTAAGAAGCGAACGTAGAAACAAGAAGGTTGCAAACGTAGTTCTCAGAATCGTCACGTCCGTGCCTCGACTTGTCGGTGCGTCGGTGCGACTCATATCCGTCCCGCCGTCGGACGCATGGCCGGCGGCCGGGTCCCGCCCACACCGCGCTTCAAACGTTCCGCATCCTTGGGCTCCGGCGTTCCGAAAGAGAAGAGACGAAGCTCGAGCACGGTTTGAGGATTTGTAGGAGCTGGTGTATCGATCCAAAGGAAACACGGATGCAATGTGTGTATGAACGGTGCTTGTTGACGGGATCTCCCACTCAAAGCTATCCCACATCCACACCGGCAAACGGGCCCCGTTTGGGCCGTCTTCGGGGCCCAGACGTCTTGGGGTTTTGGAAGGTGAAGATGTAGCAGTTGAAGTGGTTTTGCAGGGTTGCCTCTCTTTTTGGAGGTGTCACAAGTCGAAGATCGTTCCAAAGGGTTCACTTGTTCACCTTCAGGATAGTTGGAGTATCTTGAAGTTGAAGAGTTTGAATCAGGTACGCTCCCTTGGACAAACTCATGGTTACGTGGATGGGACAAATGGCCCTGAGTTTGAAACCAAAACCAAGTTCCAATCCGAAAGACCCAACGGGGTGGGTGGTCTTTACATGGTTCTTTTACATGGTATTTACTATATTAAACTTACGTATGGTTTTACTAATTACTTACATGGTTTTTACATGTCTTGTTTTTTCGAACCAACTGGAGGTTTCCAGCGAAACCGTGGAGGCATCGAGTTCCAAAGTCCGTTCCCAGTGGCCGTCGCCAGACGAGCACCTCCTCATCGACCAGCTCCTCCACTTCAACGAGGGTGGGAGCTTCATTTGATCGTCGAAGCACCTCCCAACCCATCCCGATCCTTCCCAATCCCAGCTGCTAAAACCTCTGAAGTCAGCATCACTTACAGTGAAGACTAAGTAAAGTGAGGGAAACCTTCAGGAAAAGGTTCACAAAAAAGAGATGACGTTGGGAAGAGTGTGCGCTACAACACAAGAGGTGTTGCCTGTCGCTCATGTGGATCTTAATAATGGCTTGTGTACATCAAAGGAGTTCAGGAGAGGGTGAATGCGCTGAGGAATTTCTGCATGTGCCTTCTCATGCTGAAGCCGTCGTCATGCCCTTTTTATACGCTTTCCAGCGTGCTGCCAGACGACCACATCCTCATCGACCAGCTCTACATCTTCCACATCTACCACTTCGGTGGGCAAAAGGGAATCAGAGAATCCATGGGTTTGTGGAATTCCAGTTGAGCGCATCTCCCACCAGTCATGAGTCGACTTCAAGTCATGACTCATACACGACGCAATGTATGGCCTCCAATTTCAGCAGTTGTGGTCTTTGACACTCACGACTTGTGATTACTTCAGACTTGAAAATTTCCACAGACTACCACACGGTGCGAGTCACTTGCTTTCTGAAGGTGACAAGCACAACAACCAGCACTTCGGGCAACTTGGTCTACCGTGCCAGAGCATTTCTCAGATCCACCCTTGGTTGATGAGTGTGACATAGCTTCCGTACATGTACTTTAGGCATGAGCTGCCGTAAGTAGTTGTAAGAAAACATCAAAAGCACATCAACTCCACCGTGTCGTGCTCTTTTTGGAGCACATCAACTCCACCAATGACCACACGTTTTTTTTTGGGACGTTTTGGTGCTGACTTGTACTGATATTTGGTTGTATTGTATATATATGGGGGACCCCCGATCGGCCCTGGCTGGGTGGACTGGTCCATGTTACCGAACCCGAAACCCCAGGGGTTTGGAACGCCGGTTCAGCTTAGGGCTCCCTTATGTTCCTTCGTGGAAAAAACCGATGTACCGTCACCCAGACACGACGGTCCATGGGACTGCCAGGACGGACTGCCGATCAATTGACCCGCTGGCACCATCCCAACTGATCGGCAAATATATTGGCAGTCTCATTAGTCGTGTCTGGGTGACGGTACCCATGTACCAACTCCAAGGAAACGTTTCGGACACTCCATGTACGGAGCACCCGAGCCCGACCGGGGACCCGAGACGGAAGCGGTTAAGACATCGACGGAAAGCGACGCCGTGCGAACGTTCACGGTCTTCTGCCCCCCAAAAAGACACACACGTGGTGCGTCACAGCATGTCACAGCTGTAACTGGCCATTCGTTTCCATGATCAGGTACATCCACGACGACGACGACCAGTTCCTTCTTGCCAGAGGATGTGGTGGAGCTGCTGGACTTGCTAAATCGCCAGAGGAAGAATGAGGCGAAACACCAAATGGCATGCATCAGAATTTTCACACTAAGACATAATACTGAGCCCATTTTCAGGGCTGTTTTCTTCGCCGTTCTCACTTCCAACTCGATGAGATCGGTGAGATCGGCGAGATCGGTGAGTCTCTGAGCGCCGTCCTGGTCGACTCGCCAGGCAGCTGGTGCTGTTCGTGACGTGGCTTCTTCAGAGGAGGAGCAGGTGAAGGCTCAGGTCTCGGCTTTGCTGGAAGCCGCGAACCAGTCGGAAGGTCGGGATCGGATGAGAAGCGGATCAACGGTTCTTTGTTATTGTTGTATAGCTATTGCATTCGCATTCAAAGCAGAGATCTTCCAAAAGGAAAGCCCCGATGTTTGGCAGACGCTGCCGTGCTTCCCAGGTGCCATTCCCCAGGTGACCAACGAGACGGACACCGGCACCGTCACCGTGATGGCCTTCACTTCGGAGGCCGTCGAGGCGGCGAGAAGGACCGGTGCAGCCGTCCCAGTGAGCACCGGTGGTGCTGATGCTGCAGAGGTACCTTCACAGGTGCTGGCACAAGCAATGGAAATGGCTGCAGCTAAGGTGAGAATGCTTCAAAATTCTACCGGCAACTAGAGGTTGTTTTTTCTTTTCGCAAGAAGAGATACGAAAAGTATTTTTTTTTCATGAACTATTTGGACATCATCCCTATGTCGGCACCTCACAGCTTTGGTGTTTCAATCAACAACACCCCATGTCAAGACTACCCAACTCACTAGCCCCTGGCTGGCGTGTGTGCGTCAGGTGGGTTCAGATAAGGCAGTAGTGCTGAGCCTCACTGCCATCAATGATGCCACAGCCGAGAAGTTGCAAGTTCCCATCGAGCAGAAGACGACTTCTGTGCAATCTCAGAGGTTGAGTATCAATCTTTGGGATGAAGATGCTTGGCAGCAAATCGTTTGTATCGCTGCTAGTGCATTGTCAATTTCTGTTTTGGTGGTGCGGGAAGCAAAGACCGCAGGATGGAAAGCCCATTGAGATTGACAAGCCACTTCGCGAACCCATCAAGCTGCGCTTTGAAGTCAACAACTCAGATCCGTCCTTGAGATGTGCCTTCTGGGATGCCACCTGGCTAACTCGGAAAATGACATGAATCCTTCACATATGTTTACTATATAACATAAATAAACATGTACATATATACTTATATCACATATTAGTGCTTTAGGATATGACACGCGTATGACACGGCGTGGTCCACGCAAGGTTCACGCGCCGTCCTCGTGTGCGAAGAACTCGCTCGAACCCGGCCTCGCCTCGCGCCATCTCACCCGAGGAAATCGAGGCCAAGTGGTCTGCGGCCTGGCACGAAGCTCAATGTGGGTGATTTTGAATCCGTGGAGCCCCGTGGGCCCTCCTGTGGTCGACTGGTGACACAGTTGTCCTCTTCGAGGGGTTCAGGTCATGTGGGAGGTCTTCCATGTAAACAGAGCCACACACCGATGTGTGAACGTGGCATGTGAGCGTCGTCACGAAACTGACGTGGCATGTTCTCTTGACACCCCTGAACAGAGGTCGGACCACTTAGGGAGGTTGACCGTGAACCTCTTTTGTCTTTTCAATGTTTTCAAGTGTGTGTGTGTGTGTTTATTTCATTGTCTTCTGTTTGATGAACCTATAGACATTTTGAAAGGAAGAAGGGCTCAAGACCGTGTCGATGGATGGGAAGCAGTTGGAGTGCGAGACCGTGCACTTGTCCATTTTTGCGGCTGTTGTCTTCAGCATTGAGAATGTGCTTTGGCAGCACGAAGAAAGAGGCTCCTGGGAGCACCTTCTTCAATGATTGCATGCAGATGGTCTATTTCACCGCTCGTCAAAGTGAAGAACAGATTGGAGAGGTTTTTGAGACAGGTGGAAGGTGCTTGAAGGCATGCCATTTCTGCCAAAGACATGTGAACGAACACCTACTGTAGCCATTGAGGTTGCGGCATGCAGCACTGCCATGTACCTGCTTTCAGATGAGGGCTTCAGGAACCTCTTTGATGTGACAGGATTCTTGACAGCACTGACGGGAGTCCGTCGCTGAGGGCGGTCCGAGCAGAGTTTGGAGGGTCCGTCGATCCGAAATGACCTGAGAAGAAAAAGAACACACCATGCATCAGGTCGCCCATTTGTGCTCATGGTAGGGCGCCCATATCGCTATTTGAGAGGAGCAGAAACGACGAGCAGAAACTGGTTGCCAAGGTTGGGGGAGCTCGGTGCAGGCAGTCTTTTTCGGCATCTTCCTTTCCATTTGCGTGTTGGCATTGACCTACTTTTGCTACCTGGACATCGTATCAGCTCGCGACTCTTGGAGTTGACTGGCACGACACCATCACTGCATCGCATCACTTGGTCCGGCGTCGTTCGGTGCTGTAAGTGGCGTCAACCGAACGACGTGCTTCGCGTGGTTCGTTCGGCCGAGGAGATGGGACTGTTGTCAGGGGAGACCGAGTCTGAAGCGGCGAAGGACACCAAAAAGCCAGAGCATGTGGTACACCATGTGGACGAGGCAGCCCAACGAGGTTGTGGACGGTGCAGCCAACTGCTGGAAGGCTTCAGTGTGCTGGCCATTTGCAGTACGCTGAAACAGGTCTGCCTGAGGAGCGTTGCGCGTACGTGGCATGCACAATCACTTCCACGTGGCACACTGTGGCATGTACATGGGCAAGAAACAGTCTTGGGACCTCCATACCCTAGTTGGAAAGAAAGCAATTATACATTTCATTTTTTGGATCAGTAGCTTCTTGTAAATGAAGTTGTAGTAAACTTGGATCTTCAAAGCCCTCTACCAAGAGTCACATTTTAGTTCTCTGCCCCAGCTACTAACGCAGGACTTCCAAGAGGATTTCGCGCTTGCCGTGTGATGTGGCAAACAAATGTGTCTCTGCCTTGCACAGTTACAAGACCGGAGTAGAGAGCGAAAGTGTAAAAGTCCTGCTGGAGAAGAAGATGGGCGAGATGAGAGCAGAGCATCAAATGCCCACTACAAAGAATCAACGCCGGAGGGCTGAACATGGACAAACCGCATTGCAAAGGAACACTCAAGGCATCCTTGACACGTGGGAAGTGAAGCGTGGCATGCAGGAACAGGGACGCAAGGCCGTGGAATGTGTGCTTGATGCCCCGTTTTACTGGCGAGTCGTCCTTTTCCTTCCGGTCTTCCAGCCATTGATTGGAATTTTGCTCTTCAGCCTCCGCGTGTCTCACTCGAAGAGGGCATCGTTGCTCATCCTCAAGTTCTTAACCGCTGGGGCGGCTTCGGCTCTCTTTTACGGTGGTGTGGAACAGGAGGGATGCACGCCTCCTAGAGATGCATTAGATGACCTGATCCGGACGATTGTGGTCAGCTTCGTGTGTCTTTGTTTGGGTGACCTGATGATCCTTCTGCTGACCTTGATCGGGCGCCGTTCCGTGGCCACGCCGCTCGGCGTGCGACGAGCTTTTGATCTCTAGCTGCTTTTTTGGCAAGCCAGAGGCTGCCCGAGAAGAAGACCTTTTGACTGCTCCTCATGTCCTTTCATGATATTTCACGGTTGAAACCGTGATGATTTCGAACGTGCCTCCAAAAGAACACATGGACGCAACGTCCATGGCCTTAGTGGCGTATGCCATGGCCGAACTTGTTCAAAAGTCATCCAGATAAACAAATTGCTGGGGTTCTAGTCTAACGATATTTCCAGTTCATTGATGATCTCATGGCAGTCGGCAGGTGCTGCGTGAACCGCTAGGTTGTGAACCGCTTTTTGTTTTTCAGTTTTGAGGGGCCCTTCCTTGGGTAGGCATTGCAACCTGATTGACAAGAGTGAAGACCGCGTCTTACTCACAGCTCATACATGGTTTTTGAACTTTTGTAGTCCAAAATGGGGGCCGTTGGTACGGATCTGGTTCAATTACAGCCTGTCTTCAGAGGTCACTTTGCGTGGTATACATCTTACTCTTCCTGTCGAACATGCACCCAGCGGATGTCCAGAAGTGGTTTGAGTCCAGTGCATGGAGCCTTGCTCAGGCAGCAGCATGAGGGGCATGGGCTTTTGAGTGCATCGAATTCCACAAAAAGTACCCGACACCTTCATTTGTTGCACTTTCCTTTGGGTAGGGTTTGAGCAGTTTGGGGACTTTTTCGTTTGCCTTTCTTGTTGAACCAAAAACGCATGAGATGGGCAGCGGGGTGAAGCGGTGGGCTTTGAGCGTTATTTTAGGAGATGACTGAAGTTTTCTTGGGCAAGAGGCCAGAGGTAGAAACCTACAAGATGCGCGCAATTGGTAGAAGCGACGAACCACATCAAAATGGGTTGGATACGCGAGGGTTCCATGTGCTTTTTTTGATTGATTATAGTTATTTGTAGCGCTTCTTGCTCGATTGAGAACTTTTTGTCATGAGCTTTTTCTGTGTATCGAAGGAAGCTTCAGGTAGTATCAGACGACCACTTCGTCACTGCAACTCCGTTGGAACCCTTTCAAGGGCTAAGCGACCACATTGGTCTTGGGTTCTTTTGTTTTAGTTTTTCTCAATGTTGTGCATTGGTTTGATGTAGGCTTTTCACAGCCTGCTGATGTATGCACGTTCCGTACAACTCATTTGTATGTGATGCCAAACTGTGCAAACTGCATACTAACTTTTCCCCTACGTTGCACCTGCCGAAAGTGAAAGACTCTTCGTAACATGTTGGACCAGGCATACCAGCACCTTCAAAGAAGACAAGAATGGCATCCAGCCGCCCCTAGGGTGGATGTTCGCACCCCTACACGGTCTGGCCTAAGTCGAAGATGTGACACCTCGCTGTGGAGGTCTCCTTGACCCGTCCCAACTCATCCGGCCGTCGAACGTCGCATGACCTCTGGCGCATGACCTCCGATCGATTGGTGGGAGGGCCTGATTTTGAAGCCGCTGGCGATGTCCCTGGTGATGAATACCCTCCTAAGTGTCTTGACTTCAAAGAAAACCGTGTGTGCTTCTCTCAACTACCTCACTCAGCTACTCCCAATCTGGTTGAACAGCATTCTGGCACAAGTTTGGTGCGGCGTGCGCGCTCAGAGGTTTGCTGTTCTGCTCCAATTTCAGGCATTGCTTTGAGTTTTAGCAGAGTGCGACTGGCTATTAAGACCACGTGGCTGCTGAAGGTGGCAAACGTACAATCAAGTGTATAGCTTTTTTGGACGTTTTTTGATGTTTGTGTCCTTTTTTTGCAAAGTGATGACGATTGTTGGTGTTCGATTTGTTGCTTTCGCATGCTTTTGTTCGTGTGACTGACGTGCATCTACCTGGGCACCCCAGAAACTTGCTACAGGGCATTGAGGTGCACATGACGCCAGAAGAGGAAGACCAGCTGAAGCGCGCGTTTGAGGAGGCTCAACAAAACCAGGAGAGTGCGCCCAAAGGTGTGAGACTTCGAGTGGACAAGAGAGACAGAGACCTTCTGCGAAGAAGTCTTCCGAAGGGTTTACATGGGCGTTTGCTTCACCCCGTATTCGTTGGGTCAATTCACGAAACGAACGTCTGTGCGAATCGGCGGCGAGGATGGGCCGACGTCGGTCTTTTCCATGCTCGACGTCATACGTGAAGACTCGACTGCGAAAGGCGACGGGTGCAGATGTTGGGACTTGCGACGGTTAAACAGTCACCAGATGTCAACAGGCGCAAACAATTGAGAGTGAATAGAGTCAAGCCCACCAACAAGTATTTTGAGTAGTAGTAGAAGATGTAGCAGATATAGTAATAGTAATGGTAATAGGAATAGTATAGTAGTGTGATAGCAGGAGTAGTAGGAGTAGTAGGAGGAGGAGCAGGAGGAGCAGTAGCATTAATTAGCCGCAGCGACAGCAGCAGCAGCAGGAGGAGGAGCAGCAGGAGCAGCAGGAGGAGCAGAAGCAGTAGTCGTAGTGGTTCCGGTTGTGGTTGTTGGTTGTGGTTGCTTATAAGCAAACCTTATTTTCGCAAAAAAACAGCCTGGTGAAGACATCGTTTTATCACTCCGACCCACTAAACCCATTCAGAGTGTGAGAATAATTGAATACCTTCAAGATCTTTTTCTTATGCCCTCCCACTGCCACCTGATGATTTGGGATTGAACACTAGGGTTTCAGTTTTGCTCAGGGGGAATACACACAACAAAGCAACAGCAAGCAACAGTTTTGTAGATAACGAGCGGGCCAAGTTTCACGCGTCGAGGCCAATGACTCTGTTCTATTTTGAAGAAGAAGCCTTCTTGGTGTGTCCAAATGATGTCGAACGAGAGTGCAAAGGTCTCTCCACCTGGCCAACTAGACATGCCGCGTGAGTTTTTCGAGCGGGAGGCGATATGACCTACACCGATGCTCTGCAGATGACACGTAAAATTGTCATCCGCGAGGCGTGCAATCAACTTTTTGTGGGGTTTCCCAAACCATGCTTTTGATAGCTGAAGTCTTTGAGATTTTTTTGTTCAGGCACCACCAATAGTATCTAAAAGTTGTTTATAGGTGTAGCCATGAGAACGACATGTGACATGTGATGGACTTGGGCACGTTTCTTTTTCTTCTGCGGTTTGTTCGAATGTCAGCCTGTCTCAATCCCCACAGCTGAACCAGGACGCTGAGTCGCGAGTGGACGAGGAGGCACGGAAAGCAGCCAGAGAGTGCAACCTCGCAAAGATGATTTGGTAAACATGATATGTTGTGGACTCTTGATTAGTGCAACCCTCCCCTCCACCCTCTTTTAATCAACAGTTGACATTGGGGTTATGTCAAAGGAGGGCAATCTCCCTCGGAACCAAAAGGTGAATTCCCGTTGGGCATTGCCATGTTAAGGTGCAGTTTGATCCACTCTTGTTGACACTGCGAAGGTCAAAGAGCCACCACGGGTGAAAAGGAAGGTGCTTCGAAGGGTCAGACGCAGACGGCATCCGAACCTAGTGGCGGGCTTGGCTTGGATTCCTTTCGTGTTGTGGTTGAGAACAAGCAGAGTCCTTGCAAGCGTGGTCGAGGCTGGACAAGTGCCTTTGAGCAACATCGAACAGGGCCAGTCACCGGAGGCCTGTTGATTCAGAAGTTTCTCAGGGAACAAAAAACAATCATAAGCGCTGTGACGGGGATGCATGAGTGTCATTGTGGCGTTGTTTTCACACGACTCTGCCATTCTATGGTTTCCGGAAGGAAGACCCCTTTCCTGATGCGACTCAAAATATTGAAGTACTTTGTCCTGTTTGGGATCAGTACATTGTCGGGTGTTTGACATGGAACAAGGTCAGGACTGCGGATAGTCCAGTCGGACGAAGCGAGCACGGCCATGCAGCACCTCCCCTCGGGCCTCCTTTCAGCGGATGCAGAGTTGTTGAGCATCGTCAGAAACCTGAAGTTTCACATGGTTGCATCACCAGACCATCCATGGGCCATGGGACTGGATATACCTACATTGGGGTGGTTTCAGGGGTCAATGCATTATGTATATTATTACGAAAGCCAGCCGACAGGCTTGTCGAGTCCTCGATAACCAAACGAAGTGAGTAATGGGGTGTGTGGCGGGGGGTGGTTGCAGGAAGAGCCTGATGTGGGAGAGCGAAAAAGAGAGTAGTGAACATATATGTTTTTAAGGGTCTTGGTGATGTGAGTGATGCAAATGACGCTGAGCATTAGCATCACAAAGTGGTTAGGAGATTATCAAAGTGGTCTACTGAGCTGACCAGGTGTGTGAGTCCAGGTAGAAGACAGGAGGCTGGACGATCACTGCATTGTTTTCAGAATCATAGGAAAGGAAAGCAGGGCTTGACCTTCACTGCTCCAGTAGCTGAGTTGAAATCACTGGTTACCTAGCCTCTTTATGCAAGCAGACTGATTGGAAAGGTTGAATTTTATAGTTCTCCTGGAAAAGTTGCCACAGTCTAAGGATAATGTTGGGGGTTGCGGGTTGTTGGTCAGCTGCGCGGGGATCTTGTGGACTACCACTTCACATCAAACAAGCAATGCATTGGCCGCGTTGGTGTTGGCGTCCTTGTGGAAGTCATCACCTGCTTGCACTGTTGGCGGGGGAAGGTTTTCTCATTTCCACACATTCATGTGAGTGTGGACCTGGCATCAATCGGCAGCAGCCTCCGCCGTCAATCTTTGATGGCGTCTGCTTGGCCTTTCATCATTGAACTGGGTCGCCTGCTGCTGCCGATTCAATCAGGCGATGCACCAGGAGAGCCGTTGCAGCTCTGCATTGAATGCTGCAGCGGTCATGAGCTTCGGTGCACTCCAAGAGGGAACCAACACTGATGTGCTGTACAGCGGAACGCATGCATTTCCAGAATTATGGTGGCCTTCCCAATGGTGGCACCATGCCCTTGCTTTGCAAGCTGTTCCGGTCCCCCTATCCCATGACCAGTAACAGTGGATGGGGGTGAGTAAAGGCCTTGTGTATATAGGCTCTATCATATCGAGCCTCAATGTGAAACTTTGCGTATCTCTGCCTGCTGTTTTCCCATCGTTAAAAGCATAAGAAGTAAGTGCAGCTTCGACATCACCCCCTAACGACAATGATACATAATTGAGTTCTCAATCCCTACAGGGCTGGCTTTCGTCCTCGCCCTGCTCGGGTATATATATAACTATATATACATATAGATAATTAGGTGTATGTGGATGGCCTGGGCTCCGCTCGCTGTTGGACTCAACTGGACTTAGCCGCTGTCCTTTGAAGGTGAGCGCGGCCCCAATCGTGAAGCGGAAGGTGCTTCGAGATCGAAGGGTAAAACGCAGACGGCATCCGAACCTAGTGGCGGGCTTGGTTTGGATTCCTTTCGTGTTGTGTTTGAGAACAGGCAGAGTCCTTGCAAGCGTGGTCGAGGCTGGACAAGCGCCTTTGAGCAACATCGAACAGGGCCAGTCACCGGAGGCCTGTTGATTCAGAGGTTTCTCCGAATAGAAAACATTGATTTTGTATTAGTATATTCTACCACATAAAGCACATTCTGTCCTGCAGGAACCAAATAGGGCGAGAAAATGGAATAGGAATGCATGGTAGGCACGGAAGCGAAAAAACAACGAAAAGACGCGGCAGAACAATCTACTGTAAGCTCGAGGCAAATGCGATGCAGCGCACAACGGCATTATTGATGGCAACAACGAATTTGTTGGACATGTGACTTCTAACAAATTCTTCATGACAAATGACACATCATTCCGAGTCTTCTCCGTGCTTCGATTATTCTGAAACCATCTATTCGGTTGGAGGCCATCGCTTCTAGGTTGGAGGCCATTGCTATTGTGGTTGAGGCCATCGCTTCTAGGTTGGAGGCCATCGCTAGTAGGTTGGAGGCCATCGCTATAAAGGTGGCCATGCTATTGAAAACAAAGAGAAAGAACAGGAAGAAACGTCTAAAAGGTTGCTATTAGGTTGCTTGGGAAGAACTACTCAGCAAGAGAAGCCCATGGAATGCCCGACAAGAACAGATCGAACGACATCTCATCCTGGACCAAGTGGTGCACCACACGAGCCCTGGTGCACCAAATGGTCAGAAACCTTGAGTCATTTTGAGTCCCGCCATGAAATCACTGGTTTCACCGTTTTTTGTTCGCACTTGCCGTTGACATTCCTAAAGTGTCCCAAAGATCACATTTTTCGATACCACTTGAGCAGACATGTTTGCTCACCATCTTCTGGGAGATGGCCAACTGGCATGGCCAACGCTTAGCGTCATACGGAACGCAACTGGAATGCCAGCTGTCAAACTTCCCGACCAATGTGGTCTTCCCTATCCCACTTCATGACAAGACAAAAGGTCTTTTTGCGCCTGTAGTGGTTCAAGTGGAATTTGTTTTGACTAGAGAGGAGCGTTTTTTGCTTTGGAGCCACAAGTTGCCAAAAAACAATTGCGGCAATGGTGGTAGCCACGAATCTCCTTTGTTAATGAACTGCTTCATCAACTGTTTGTGCAATCTTTGGCAATGAGCCCATTATAAAGACCTTTTCACCTTTTTTGGCGCTTGGAGTGCGAGCGGGCACATGAGTATCATCGTAGCGATATTTAATGTAAACTTGTTCGGCTGCAATAACGGTATTGTTAGAGAGGCCCCTACCTGGGGACCTTTGAAACTTGAGGCTAGTGACTAGTGACCAAGATTAGGACTTTCTTGTGTGTGTAAATCTTTTTTTGCTTCTGTGGCGTTTGTTATGTTTATGACATGACCTGAATGAGGGCACTGAGCAGTTGGGGATGTGTGCGATCGTGTTGGACGTGGAGGAAGAGCAGGAGGTGCGCAAAAAAAACCGGAGAACAGCAGACGGAGCTGGATGGAAGGGCTGGGCTGAGTGATGCTGAGTGATGCTGAGTGCAGCCGCTGGTGCCCGCGTTGAGTCACAGGTTGGGCCTCGTTCGGTTCAGGTCCAGTTTGATCTGCTCTTGTTTGGACCCATGGGAGGAAGGTGAAAGAGCCCCCC